ATGTACAGGTCTGAGGTCGTGGTTGATGTGGATGCATGGTTTGGCTGCAATACAAAAAACGTAAATTATCGGCAGGATAGAGTAGCAGCAATAACTCAAAACCGTATATGCCTTGACCCACCTGCGCCCTTGAATCAAGGAAAAGATGGCCAAGATTTAACACCAATTTGGTGCTTTGGAAGCCTTCGGACAGAGATGGGACTGTGATTTCAGGAGCAAACACATCAAGGACAGCCTCAAATCTGCAAGCCACAAAAAAAACGACAGAGATGAAGGCCGTTTCGACAAATTTTGGCAAGAATTCAGCAAGCAATCGAAATGGCAGCATATACCGGGAAACAGAGCGCATGAAGTTCGTCAGCTGTGCCTGAGCCTGGCGTTTGATTTCTTCAACAGTTTGCTGGGAAAGAACCAAGCAAACAAACAGATAAACAACAAAAGTCAGAGGCCACAAAAGATCACCAACCAGAAATGAAGCATACAGGGGAATACTAATACCTCAAAAGCGTCAGCAGTGTCCAATGCAAGAGCAGGACTCAAGGCGTCGTTACTCTGAAAGAATTCAATGATGCGGTCCAAGCTTGACTTGATGAACTGCAAACAGTAGTACATGTGGACTGTTTAACCATTGCCATTTTCTATTTACCGTACAATGGCGAGATAAGAATAAATGCTGCATACCAGAACATGAGCCTGCTGAACTGAGCCATGCAATAACCAGTCCAAGTTCTGTCCCTTGGGATGCATCACACATAGAAAATCCAGGGTGTTCTCTGGCCCTTGCCCACTCCAAAAAAGTGCTCCCTCTGGTGATTCCACACAGTATGGTCCAACTTGAACATGGATATCTGTGGTTTCCAAATGCATACTGGATGCAACTTGAATCCTCTTGCAGTTGAGGCTCAAAAGGGAAACGCCATGGGAATCCTTGATAACTGATCTGCTTTCCTTCACATGAACAGACCACCGTGTATGCACAATCTCAGAAACTGTGGTCTCGCTGTTTGTAGCCTCGGGTAATAGCGCTTGCAACTGAGTCCAGTCTTCAGCATCAAGCTGGGCCGGGAGGGCAGTGTTTCTGAACAACAACACATGACAAAAGGATCAGACATGGACATGAGCAAAACGAGAAAAAAACAACAAATATCATGCGCACCTAGAAGCTTTCCCCTTCTGTTTTTTCATTTCTTGTGAGACGAGCTCATGAGCGACAAGCCTGCAAAAGGAGAAACATCATGGTGATTTGTGTGTCCTTCAAAAAGTATATATACATATACATGTATGTATCGACATAAATTACCTCCACTGCAGCAAAACCTCTGGTTCAACATCCGTCTCCAAGGACAAAAGCTCCTGATTCCTTTCAAAGGGCTTTTGGACAGCTCTTCGGAGAAGGTGCTTGGCATACAAGGGGATGTATGCATTCCTTATTCTGGTGCGGCGAATAAGCTCATTCCAGTCCGTGAAGGATCTGCAATTGTTGAAATGTTGAATGTGTTAGTTCTGAAATGGAGTAATCCGTCATACACTAAACTAACAAGGGTGAACGAAGAGAACACAGGCTATGCCACCACCTACCGCCCCTTCTTGATTTTCTTCATTGTTGCCTTTATTGCAAATGTCCACCATGCTGAAGGACATTCTTGAATGCTGCACGAAGGTCGGATATCAGCCAACTCTTGTCGCCGTTGGGCAGCTGCAAACTTGTCAACAAGCTTCATAATCAGCCGATACTGGTCCTGCAGTCATCAAAATCGAACTATGAAATGCTGCTTATTGAAAAACGCAAATCCGTAATTTTTGCTAACGAATGACCACAGAGATACCTCCGAAAGCGCAAATGAAACACTGTCAAGCGTCACTGTGAGATCTTGTTGAGGGGTGCCCGAGAACGCAGTCTGGTTCTTTCCTGCACGACTGTATGATGCTGCTCCATTCAAAGGCTCGACCAAATATTCAGATGTTGAAAACTGCCAGCGATCGCTTGATGCAGTCTGTACCACCAAGACACTGTAGGTTCAGTATCCAGAAAAACAAAGAGGCAGACAACCTGATAGACACACGACATACCGTCACGTCATTCAATGATGGCTGGCAATACACTGATAGACCATGTAGCTCCAGAGCCTGAAAATCACAGATTTGTCATGTCAGCCTTCTCCCATATTCAAGAAAGTACCATGCTAGTTCAACTATCAATCTCATACCTTTCTAGTGCAATCAAGCTCTCCACCGGACACGTAAGTTTCCTTTCCATCCTTGTCAACGGAAAAGGCAGCAAGCCTGTCAAGTTGGATCCCCACAGCTGCAGGTCCATGGATTTCACTGAAAGACAAACCAAGAAAAATCAGTAGCAGTTGCACATGATAAAAGGATCACGCTAGCGTTAACCACCTCAATGAGTCTTCGTATCGAACGTGTATGTTGGAGATGCTTAGCTTGAGGTTCCCGATCACACCATCCACAATGGTGCTCAGCCAGGTTCTGGTATCTCCCTGCAGGTTATTGAGTAAAACAACCAGCAATAGTAGTAGCTACTATGAACAACGTGCGACCACAATTTCTCCTCTAAAAAACGCTGGATAATTCAGCATTGATAGCACTTACGGTGTCTTTTCCGACGCTGGCATCGCGTCGAGACAGGATCAGCTCCTCTGCATCCTGAGGGAAATTCAACGTTTAAGACGAGGGGATCATTAATAAAAATAAAAAGCAGGATGATACGCAGATGCTTACTTGAACGCGCTTGCGCTTGGCGTTCAGAGATGATGCCGGATCAAGAAAGACAGACTCGTTGGGTCCAAGTAAGAGCTCAAGTCCGTCCAGATGAATGACTATTGATGACCTTCCGAGGCTCTTCCATGGTATCTGAGATCATATGACAAGTCATAATGTTACAATTCAGGTAGTACCCCTGGCATCTAATGCTATTCCGTGCTTGAAACGGGTCGCTGGAATTCTCGACTAACCTGAACGCGCAAGGCCTTTACGATTCCTGACTTTATTACAACTGGTAACTGCAGGCGTCTAAGCGCTTCAGGTCGCAAGCTAATATTCTTGAGCTCAATGTCACCTGAAATCCCAGGAATCGCTAATAAGATAACTAAATATCTGCATCTGCGGTAAAACTGAATCCACACTTATCCCACCTTTCCACACACTAACTTTCAGCGCTTCCTTCGACAGTCCAGAGAAGTATTCCCCGAGATACTTCTGCAGTATCGATGTCAGTTTATCTTCCAACATGGCTAGTGAGTAAATTGACCAAGCGCGAACATGCAGCTCCAGGGAACAAGAGAACAGATTACTCTCATAGAAGACGGGTAAGCGAGTTTGCAGACAAGGCTGGTCTGACAGGGACCACCAGAGAGCAATTATCCCCTTTCTGGCGCTCCCATGTTTGGTTTGGGTGTGGCGGTGACAGAATTTGTCTACAGTTTCTACTAGGCTTTCCGAAATATTTGCTTCTCTGTGAGTGTTGGAATCTAGCGACAACACAATGTTTTCTGAACGATTTAGCACGGTTCTAGAGAATCTGACAATATAAGACAATCTGACATACCTCCTCCCTTTCCCCTGCTCGACCAACGAAAGCTCCCATCTCTGTCCGCCATAGAAAATAGGTGGTTCTAGCGAAACGACATCATGGATGGTGAGACGGAACGAAAGATCGCAGCACTCATTCTAGCTGAGGCCCAGCGGCTCAAGGCGAGAGCTGCTGAGGAGGGCGTTAGGGCGTATCTGAAGCCGCATGTTCGGTATCGTCCTAATTCGCAATTCCTCCGAGCTACCGTGCAGAGTGTTGAGTATGGTGAGCCTTTTTAAATGGCAAACGTCACATCTTTCACTAACCTCAGCGTCAAAGCGCCGTTTCCGACATCACTTGGGCGGAGTGGCACCTTTTCGTGCCATCTGCACTTGCGTTACGCAGCCACCTGCTGCTCACTCCCCACTATATTCCACGTTCGCAGTCGAACCCCGCTATTCGGATTGTAATCATGATCCATGCGTCCGTTAACATAGACTCTTTCTTTCAGAATTCTCGTCTTCGTGAGCTTTTATGTTAACAGCTTACTGTATGGTCGAAGTAAAACTTTCGAATTTCTGTCTTCTTGAACCCTGATTCAACAGCCAACCGCGTGGCGGACGTGAACGAGATGTGGAAGGAGCGAGAGCTGGAGCTGGCAGAAAGCCGGAGAGATACACGCGGGGATTCAGCTGAGCGGCCGATGACGCCCAGGGATGCAAGGGGAGAAGGAAGCGTGCGCGAAGCGCGGAGAAAGCCGAGAAGTGGCGACGGCTGGAGGAGGGAACGAAGAGAGGGGAGCAGGGATTATGTTTATTGGGAGGAAAAGAGGGGGATGAGAGACGACCAAGAGAAGGGCTGGCGCAGAGGGGAAGAGGAGGGAAGAGCTTGGCGAAGAGGGAGAGAGGATGAAGAAGGGCCTTGGCGGGGAGGAGGAGAGCACGGGAAGAAAGGAGAGGACGGGAAGAGAGGAGAGCATGAGAGGAGAGGCACACAAAGAAGGGAAGGCTTGAGAACCAGCAGCGGTAGTTGTAGGCAAGAGAGGCACATCTCGCCTTTGCCATTAGGACAGAGAGGGAGCACTGGAGAGCATAATAACAGTGACGAACTCGAGGCACGGAGAGATCAAGGGTGGGATGCTACTTATGGGGAAAAGCGCAGCAGGAGTCCATATGGGAGTGATTCTGCACAGGAGGAGACACGGTTTGGGAGGGACAGGAGGGGTGACAGAAAGGAGCAGAGGAGTGGCGAGAGAGAGGACAGAAGTGGAGGAAGAGGGAACACGATCTTGTGGGAAGACGAAGTTGGTGATGTCAGGAGCGACAAACGAGGAAGATGGGAAGGACGGGACGGAAATGTTCATGCGGCGAGATGGGAAGGAAGAAGGGATGTGAATGGGGAGATGTGTTGGGATGAAGATCACTGGCACGGAGATAGGCCAGAGTTTTGGGAAGAGGATGATCATAAGGAAGGCATGAGAGATGAGGGACGGGGAGGAAGGAGGTCCGTGCGAGTAAGGTCGGATGAGGAAGGGAGGTGGGGGTTTAGGGAGGAAAGACATGAGCGAGGCGCATCGCCTGATGATAGTCCAGACTATCGGGATGGTGATGGTTACTGGAAGAGACGAGGGCGTGAATCTGGGGACATTTGTGGGAGAAGAATTGGGGGACGACATGAAAAAGGGGAGGAGCACGTTGGACAGGAGAGGGAACAGAGGTTTGATGGGACATGCGGGGATGGTTCGGTGCAGGGAAGTGGGCACACGGAGGTGCAAAGGGGAAAAGAACACAGGAAGAGGTCTAGGCAGGATGATGCCGATGCGGAGCAGAAGGGCATTGATGACTCTGACCTTCTTACTTTCCTCAAGACTAGGTGAGCTCCTCGCCTACACCTAATGACTACCATTTCTCTTCTCGCTCCTCAATTTCGCCCTCCCCCCCTTTCCACCTCCGATAATGGATTCGATTAAAGTGGTCAGCAAGTCAGTTTGATGCATGCATTCCATGTTAGGTTGTTCAGTACTGACGATGAAAGACACATTTTTCTTTCCCACTATCAACCATGTCCCCTTTTTAGCCATTTCAGAATCCTCCCTTCTTGCCTCTACTTCTTTGTGATTCTATCTTTGCCCTCCCGCTGTGCTCTCCAGGGCCAAGAGAGGCAGAGGAGCCATTGGATCCAGGGCTGATGCATGGGGATCGGAGCCACCTTCTGTACTCGCAGGCGTGCAGGGAGGCGCAGAGGAGGGGAGTGGAGCAGTGGGCATGCTGCTGGCGCGAGTGAGGGAGGAGTGGGAGGACAGCGTGGTTGCTGGAAAGGGTAGAGGGATATCGACCTCATGGGCAGCTGCTGACCCTGCTGCTCTTGGTGCTGCTGGTGCCGCTGGTGTTGCTGGTAGTGGTCATGCTGCAGGTCGAGTTGGTGGTGCTTCCGCTGGAGGGACTGATGGCCGTTGGATTCGAGGTGTTGCACTGGATGAATGGCCTCGTAGCACTGCTGATGGTGCTGCTGGTAGCAGTGGTAGTGGCGGCAGTGGCAGCAAGAGTAGCGGTGACGGTGGGAGTGGCAGTGGTGGCACTGGCACTGGTTCATCGAGCAGTGAGAGCAGCTCGAGTTCGAGTGAGAGGAGGGAGAAGAGGAGGAAGGAGAGAAAGAGGAGGAAGCGGAGCAGCAGCAGACACAGGGAGAAGAGGGAAAAACACAAGAAACGACGAAAGGTGGAGCACTCAGAGCGCAAGAAGCGACATAAGAAAGAAAAAAGAAGGAAGCACAAGAAAGGCTCGGAGCAGTGACGCAGAGCAATCTTCGTGTCTTTGTACATAAAACATACAGGTTTGAAGGACACATCCAGGACACGTTCGGCCCCAAAACTGTCACCACTTTCACGTGATTGGTCGAAAGTTTTGAGTGGGTTTTTGACGCGATTGGTTCTCGATTTTCCCACCGAACCTCCTTCTGGGGTTTTTCGAACCTACAATTTTTTTGTTGACTTCATTGTGTAATTTGGGGTGTGGCCAGTCTTAATGGGAAGTAGTGTTCCTACCCAGTCTTGGCCTTGCACAATACTTGCACAAGCTTCACACTTCGAGAAACATTACCTTTACTGCTCATATGTTTGTGTGTTAAGTTGCATTCATCATCCAGCATTAAAACCCAAGGTCTTGTTGTTATAATTAGTGTGCTGGCACTTTATTATGTAAAAGTTTTTTCCACGCAGGAGGAGCAAGCATTGTATTCCAACTATGACACAGGTCATAGCTATTACACTGACTTTTGTCCTGAGGAAACTCCTGAATCACGGTTACGCAAACCTCTAGCGAGTATGGAATGAAAGACAGTCTTCAAGGTTTATGTTGGGAGACTCACCTTTTCCTCCCTTTCCTCCCTGCCATCCCCTTGTGCGGAAGGCATACCTAGTATCAGTCACACGCAACGCCGATAGCGCCTGATCCGTTTCCTGCAATCGCATTTCCGCTCATTTTGATTGTGCACTGATCCGTTCCTCTTCTTGCTGCGCGAATCCTTGAATCAGATCTTTAAATATTATCTTTGCGAAAAGCTAGCAGCCATGCCGAACGTCGACTGTAGAATGTACGAGGCGAAGTTTCCGGAGGTAGAGCAGGTGGTGATGGTTCAAGTTAAGAACATCGCCGATATGGGCGCGTATGTCTCGCTTCTTGAGTACAACAATATCGAGGGTATGATTCTCCTATCGGAGCTATCCCGTCGTCGCATTCGTTCTATATCGAGTCTGATCAAGGTCGGCCGGCAAGAGCCCGTTATGGTGGTCCGCGTGGACAAGCAGAAGGGTTATATCGATCTATCGAAGCGGCGTGTATCGGAGGAGGAGGTGGCGGCGTGCGAGGAGAAGTACAATAAGTCCAAGATGGTTCACAGCATCATGCGCCACGTGGCAGAGACGTCCGGCGTCGATGTCGAGGTGGGAACGATCGCACGGTCAGAAGTCCGTTAACCGAATCTACTGTTGTCTCTCGCCCTCATCTTATCAGTATTTGCTCACAGCGTTCCCGTTGTTAAACCCTTTTCCCAATATCCACCCATGGCATATTCAGAGACCTCCGCTGTTTCTTCCAAATTCTTGGCGCCCCTTTGAACACCTTTCCCCCTCTCCCGTCCCCCTCTCTCGTCCCCCTCTCCCCTCTCCTATTCCTCTCTTCCCCACCCCCCACCCTCTCTTCCCCTCTGCCTCCTCCCGTCGTGGCCGTGCAGGAGCTATACACGAACGTGACGTGGCCGCTGTACCGCAAATACGGACACGCGTTCGAGGTGAGAGCGGGACTACCCCTGCTGCTGGGGGTTACCTAGAATTCGACTTTTGTAATGACTTGCTCGCAAGAAGTCGAAATGAACCGGCTAAGAGCTATAGGCGGAGAAAATTCTTGTTTCAGGGAGCTTTTGCGTGAATTGGAGCAGTTATATTGAGTTCATTTGAATTGAGGTGGGTGGAGTGCAAGACATCTAAGGATCTGGGCCGTACCCCATTATGAGCCCTTCGGCCAGAATCCCACTTAAAAGGTCACGTGGATAGAGCCCTTACCAGTTGATATGGTTCTGCATGATGTATTGTGCTGGGTGCATGATTGTGTCTGATGACATTGACCGGTGACCGATGTACTTGTGACCCATGACCCTTAACCCATGATGACTTATGATCCACCCATAATCCACAACCCATGGCAGGCGTTCAAGCTGGTGGTGACGGATCCAGACGCGGTGCTGGGGGGACTCACCAAGGAGATCACTGAGACAGGCGAAGACGGCAAGGAGGTCAGTTGTGGGATGCAGCAAGGGGGTTAGTCCTCAGCCATACAGTTTGAGAAGACTGGAAAAAGTTGGTGAGGTGTTTTTTTTGTGATGAAAGGAATTTAACTCAGGATGGTTCATGTTTGGGGTTGGGTCACACCCGACTTCCTTTCCCTTCGCCCTAGTCACCCTCTCACTCTCTCTCCTCCCACCCTAGTCACCCTCCCAACCTTGCACCCTCACACCCACCACCCTCCCGCCTGCTGTCAGCCCGCTGCAGGTGAAGAGGGAAGTGTAGGTGATGCTAGAGGACGTGCGGGCGAACCTTATAGTGTCACCTCTCGGTCTTCCTTAACATTCCCCCTGAATCCTCCACCCTCCCACCTCCCACCATCCCACTCTCTGTGTGTGCGCACGGCAGGTGAAGAGGGAGGTGCCGGCAATGCCAGAGGACGTGAAGGCGAACCTGATTGCCAACATCCGGCGCAGAATGACCCCGCAGCCCCTCAAGATCCGAGCCGACATCGAGCTCAAGTGCTTTCACTACGACGGCGTGCTGCACATCAAGGTGCGCCCCTCTGAACGCTTGTTGTCGGCATGCTCTTTTATTCTTTCTTTCTTTTGGAAGTACGCCTCTGAGCGAGCCGACATTGAGCTCAAGTGCTTTCACGAATCACTACGACGGCGTGCTGCACATCAGGGTGCGCCCACCTGCAGACTTGCTGGCGGCGTTTCTCCTTTGTTTATTATTGTAGCACCAGTCAATCAATGCCTTTGACCCGACATCGAGCTCGAGTGCTTCCACTACAATGGCGTGCTGCACATCAAGGTGCGCCCTACCCATCGCAGCCTTAGAGCTGGTAGCTGAGTGTGTCTGGACAGAACACATCTTGTTTCCCCACCCACACCTCCATCCCCACCGCCCCCCCGGCCTCCGACCCCGCCCTCGCCCCTTCTACTGCCCTGCCCTGCCCCTGCTCTCTTGCCAGTGTGCTATTCACCGTACCGAACCGAGCACGTTTTAGTTTGCCCTCCATGCCCCCACTGTTGCCCCTTCCCCTGCCCTCACCATGCCCTCTCCCCAGGACGCCATGTGCCGGGCGGAGCAGGAGAGCGAGGAGGACTGAGTTGAGTATGTCTGGACAGGACACATCTTGTTTCCCCCACCCCCACCTCCGCCCCCGCCCTCGGCCCTTCCGCAGCCCTCACCGTGCCCTCCCTCCAGGACGCCATGCGCCGCGCGGAGCAGGAGAGCGAGGAGGACGTGAAGGCGAACCTGTTGGCGTCACCTCCCTGTCATCCTTACCCTTCCTTCCTGTTCGTCTTCACATCCCCTGCCCTCACCTCACCGTGCCCTCCCTCCAGGACGCCATGCGCCGCGCGGAGCAGGAGAGCGAGGAGGACTGTGCGGTGCGCATTGTGCTTGTGGCGCCGCCGCTCTACGTCCTCACCACCTTCACACTCGCCAAGGTGGGCTTGCGAACGGGCACGCTGCTCATATATGTGATAACCACTCTTGTTGTACTGCTCTTCAAAGCAGTGTTCACTTGTCTTCTCATGCTTTCGTGATTGGCTGCGTCTTGGTCACTCACTCTCTCAGCCCATGGTAACCCCCCCTCGTCCTCCTCCACCCCCCAATTCTTGCAACAGATGCTCTTCAGGCCAGCACAGCAGCAAGTGAACTGTGACTTAACTCATCCGCTTGTCCCTCGCCTACCTTCCCCCTCTTGTCTTCCCCCACACACATACCCCCCCTCCCCGGTGGTGTCTTTCAAAACGTCCGGTGCAATCAGGACAAGGGCATAGCGGTGTTGGAGCGGGCCATCAGAGCAGCGAGTGAGGAGATCGACAAGCATAAGGGCAAGCTCACAGTCAAGGAGGCGCCGCGAGCGGTGAGTGCATGGCATGGCGGGATGAAGGAGCAGCGTGGGGGTGAATGCCTGGTGTGATGAAGGAGCAGCGCGGGGGTGGATGCACAGAGTGGGGATTGAGAATTTGAGAATGTACAGCTGCAAGGATGATGACCACAGGATGCATGACGGCTGCAACTGGAGGTGATTAGTGGCGATGTGTTCTTGTGGGAGTGCGTAGTTGGTGCTTGTACTTGCGTAATTTCTCCCACTGGGAAAACGCTTGCAGAATTAATGCTCTTACCACATCTCTCAGCACGCGGCTCCCCATTTCTCCTTCACTCGCTACTCCCTGGTCCTGGTTGTTCACTTGGTACCACCCCTTCCCCCCATCCCCCCTCCCCCCCCCCCCCCCCCCCCCCCTCCCCTCCCCCCCCAATTCCCACCTTTCCTGCTGCTGTCCCGACCCAGGTGAGTGACCGTGATGACCGGTTGCTGGCAGAGCACATGCAGAAGCTCACAGATGCCAACGCTGAGGTGGATGGGGACGTGGACAGCGAGGATGAGGACGAGGGCATGGGCTCTGTTGACATTGACAACGCCGGTCTCACCGAATAGATTACCAGGAAAATTGGGCAATTGGAGTGTTTCAAAGGTGCTCGCAACCCTAGGATAATTTTGTGTTTGGATGGACTGAGTGCGGTTAGGTTAGGTTGTATGAAGCATGTTTAGGCCATAAGAGCTTGTGCGATGGGAAGCCACTGGTTGCAATGCAACCATCTACCATCTATTTCCTTACATTGTGTGCTGTGCACTGATAAGTGATTGTAAGTTGCAAATGATGCAGATCCCAAGCGTGTGAGGGAAGATAATCAGATCCTCTTTCGTACTCTCCATGAAGGATACGTCACTGGACTGGACTCTCGACCACACCCATTTTGACTGAGTGCGGGTCAGCGGCATTGAAAGCCTACACCGAACTGCAGCTCATATCACCCAGCTTGATCCCATGTTACCTCTGCTGAAATCGTCCCTCCCCTCCACAGAATTCCCATGCGTAGATTAGCAGTGGAAGCTAAAACTACTGCTCGTTACTCTTCTCGTACTACGACCAGACAGCAGGAGTAGCTGCTTTTCGCAACCAGATTCTAGTCTACCCTGCTACTCAAACTGTGACTGATTATCTTCATTACGCGTGGCCATTCGTTCTTGCCCTAAAATCGCACGTGTCGAACTTGAAACTTGTCCACGCATATTTTTTCTCACACAGATTTATCGGTCCACCCATTCGCCCATTAGTAGCGGCTGTGTCTTAGACGGCGGATTCTGACCGGCCGTGGGAAAACGGTGGTCACAGACTTCCTCTTTCTGCTGCCAACTGAAAGGTGCTCGGCGGCGCCATGGATCTCTTATTTGGAAAAAAGAAAACACCAGCAGGTAACGGCGGTGTAACCAGCCTCGCAACTAGACATTGAGTCCACGGAATGTGTTCCCTCTTTGTTTTTTATGTCTTAGTTGGGATTCTGACTTACTCGGTCTTCGCAATTTCCTTGAATTGCGATGTACATTCCGGCTTGAAGTCTCTGCCTGTGCGTACCTCTATTCCTGCAACGCCTGCGAGCTTACACCTCGCTTTCGACTTGTTTTCCACCAATGCATGCCATCGAATGATATGTCGCGCGTTTCATGGCGAAATTATGAGGAAGTCGTTGTCCTTGCCCCACTGCTTCCTGAGCACCTGATTGAGACCTTCCAGAAGCACAAGCGCATGCAAAATCGATGCGCAGTTCCCGACACTTTCGTTATGCCTGACCAGAGAGAGAACCTGTGCGAGAACAAGCGCATGTGAAATCACTGCACGGGCCTCTCTACTTTCCCAGTGCTTCCGTCTTCCTATGCTGTCTTCACACCCTGACCATAGATTCTGGGCGAAAGTAAGCGCATGTCATACCATCCGCTCTGTCCTCAGTGCGTTTCCATTCTTTCCTCGTGCCTGACCAGAGATCCTGCAGGAGAACAAGCGCATGCTGGAGCGGTTGATACGGGAGCTGGTCGGCCTTTCAGACTTTTCAGTAACCAACTAGACTCATATCATTTCACTGTCCTCACTTCTCTCCCCATGCTTTCGTCGCGCACTGTTCTCAGTGTCTACCATGCCTGACCAGAGATCGTGCACGAGAACAAGCGCATGCTGGACCGGTCGATATGGGAGCTGGTTGGTTTGTGAGATTCCTCAATAACCAACTTATATCATTCCACTGTCATCACTGCTTTTTCATTGCTTGCTTCCCACCTGACCAGAGGTCCTGCGGGAGAACAAGCGCATGCTGGACCGGTCAATTCGGGAGCTGGACCGTGAGCGAGCGCAGCTGCAGCAGCAGGAGAAGAAGCTCGTTGCTGACATTAAGAAGTCGGCAAAGCAAGGACAGATGGTGAGTGCACTCTCTGGTGAATGCTGATGGGAATGATGTGTTTGGCATGGATGCATCTGGCGTAGAGATGTTCTTTGCAGCAGCAGGAGAAGAAGCTCGTGGCTGACATTAAGAAGTCGGCGAAGCAAGGGCAGATGGTGAGTGCACTCTCTGGTGAATGCTGATGGGAATGATGTGTTTGGCATGGATGCATCTGGCGTAGAGATGTTCTTTGCAGCAGCAGGAGAAGAAGCTCGTGGCTGACATTAAGAAGTCGGCGAAGCAAGGGCAGATGGTGAGTGCACTCTCTGGTGAATGCTGATGGGAATGATGTGTTTGGCATGGATGCATCTGGCGTAGAGATGTTCTTTGCAGCAGCAGGAGAAGAAGCTCGTGGCTGACATTAAGAAGTCGGCGAAGCAAGGGCAGATGGTGAGTGCACTCTCTGGTGAATGCTGATGGGAATGATGTGTTTGGCATGGATGCATCTGGCGTAGAGATGTTCTTTGCAGCAGCAGGAGAAGAAGCTCGTGGCTGACATTAAGAAGTCGGCGAAGCAAGGGCAGATGGTGAGTCCCACTCTCTGGTCAACGATGACAGAGATGATGTGTTGGCATGGCTGACGTTAAGAGGTTAGTGAAACAAGAGGAGATGGCGCGAGCTTGCTTCGAAGGAACAGAGTAAACGCATGAAATTCACACGACACGTATATGTCATGTGCACCATGACAAGCTCCCCCGCACACCAGCAACGACAAGGCGTCCTGCGTGTGTGCACATGCAGCAATGAGCTCCATTCCACTTCATCCCTCTATTCGCCTCCATGCTTTCCTATCCTTCAGTCCGGATCCCACTCTCAGACCCAGTCCCATACCCAGTCCTACTCGCATGGCCTCCTGTGAAACAGGGTGCAGTGCGGGTGATGGCCAAGGATCTGATCCGCACGCGGCATCAGATCACCAAGTTCTACGGGCTCAAGTCCCAGCTGCAGGGCGTGTCCCTGCGGATACAGGTGAGACACACACACACGTGTACACACACACACACGCACACACACACACACACACGCGCGCGCGCACGCACACACACACATACGCGCGCGCGCACACACACACACACACACACACACACACACACGCGCGCACGCACACACACACACGCACACACACACCACTCCTGATGCCATGCTCCAGCCTTTTCCAGCCTTTTCAAGTGACTCAGGCGTTTTGTGCTCCTTCATTGCGATTCTCTGTTTGTGATTCTCTGTTTCATCACTGCCACCATGTGCACGCTCTTTGATCAGCCTCTGTTTCATCCATCTCCCCCCTCTTGGTGCTCTTTAAGCTTCACGTCCCCTCTCCCCTTTCCCACTACTCTCTCACCCCGCTCCCACCTTTACCCTGCCTTTCCCCGCCTTCCCTTCCATTGGTCTCCCCCATTGTGCTCCCCTCAGCGCCCCCACTGCAGACCCTCAAGGCGACCCACGTCATGGACAATTTTCCAGGCACCTCAACACAACCCTCCTTCTCCTCCACTCCCCACCCCGCTCGCACCCTTTCCCCATCTCTCCCCTCTTCCCCTTCCCGTGCCCCTGCAGACCCTCAAGTCCACCCAGGCTATGGCAGACGCTATGAAGGGCGTGACCAAGGCCATGCGATCCATGCCTCACGTCCACCCTTTCCCCATCTCCCCCCTCCTTCCCTTCCCCCCCCTCGGCACCACACCACCTGCAGACGCTCAAGTCCACCCAGGCTATGGCAGACGCGATGAAGGGGGTGTCCAAGGCCATGCGATCCATGAACAAGCAGCTCAACCTGCCGGCCATGCAGAAGGTGTGTCAGAAGAAAGTCTGTTTCTACCTCTCAGAACTCCTGAACCCAGACGGGGTGTGCTTGCGTAATGTGGTGAATGGGGTGATCAAAACCATGCGATCTGTGAACAAGCAGCTCAGCCTGCCGGCACTGCGAAAGGTGCATTAAAAGAGAGCCAATTCCTACTTCTGAGAGCCATTAAGCCCAAACAAGGTTTGTGAGCCCTCTGTTGGACACGCTAGCTTCTTTACCATTCATGATCCAACAGCTGTTTAGGACCTGTGTGATTTGGTCTGTTTCTATTATCAGGTTCACACATGGGGCCGCACATTGTCGTCTTTCTGATTGCTGGTGGCTGGATTCCTGGTCTTTCATGCTCCGTGCACATTCTGTGTGATTGATGCAGATTCGGGGTGATGCAGGAGTGTCGTGTGAGTGAGATGGCCCACAAATATGATGTTGGAGGCTTTGAGTGGCGCGGGATCCTTGATTCTACACATCCCTACGTTTTGTGTTGTTTCACGTGTGTGTGCGCTTGTGCATGTGAGCGTGTGCAGGTGATGCGGGAGTTTGAGATGGCGAATGAGCGCATGGAGATGACGTCAGAGATGATGGGCGACGCCATAGACGATGCCATGGAGGGCGACGAGGAGGAGGAGGAGACGGAGGAGCTGATCAATGAGGTGCTGGATGAGATCGGCATTGACATCAACCAGCAGGTGGGTGCTCCTGGGATGGTCAGCAGCTTAATTTTCTCTGGAGGACCAAAGGTGGGTGCTTTCTGGATGGCAACAATTATTTTCTAGTTGACTGGATGGGGAAAGGAGACGGAGGAGCTAATCAACGAGGTTCTGGATGAGATCGGCATCGACATTAACCAGTAGGTGGGCGGTCTCGGCAAGGTGCTGGTGCAACAGTTGTATGCTCTCTGGATGGCCAGCAGGTGGGTGTTCTAGCCAACTTAATGACGAGGAGGAGGGGAGAGGAGGAGACGGAGGAGCTGATCAACGAGGTGCTGGATGAGATCGGCATTGACATCAACCAGCAGGTGGGTGCTCTTCGCAAGCCCCACGATCTTTGCGTGCTGGATGAGGGGTGTCTCTGCCCCACGCTCTCATGCATGCTGTCCCCGCAAACCCATGGCACTGTGTCACTGAGTCTCTGATTCGCGATGGTGTGTTTCGTGGCATTGCCGTGGCCTCACACGTGCCTGTTTCAAAATCTCCTCCTTCGCATTCCTCTCTCACTGCTCTCTTTTCACACCATATCCTCCCATCCCTACTCTTCTCCCCCCGCACCCCCTCCTCGTCCCTTATCAGCTCATGAATGCGCCAACACCAGCAGCGCCCCAGGCACAGACAACAGGCAAGGTGGCACAGGGTGATGCAGTGGGCGCT